GCCATCCCTAAGCGGGCCTAGAGAAGGAGGACGAACGCGCAGGTCAGGAACACCAGGAAGAAGAGAGCGGGAGGAAGAGGAAGCCATCCCTAAGCGGGCGAAGAACAAGAAGACGGACGCACGGACGACGAAGACGAGGAACGAAAGTATGAAACGTTCTATGATCTGTGTGAGGGAACGAAGGAGATTCCCGCCTTGATGAACTTGAAGGAGAAACTTCCACATAAGCACATTGATCGAACTGAGATCACCCAACTGAGGTTCATATCTCTGAGGTTAGCATCGCTGAGGTGAGTATATCTGAGGTTACCGTGAAACGACTGAGGTTCCTGACTCCGCATAAGCAGGCCCGCGGTCACTCTCTGCGTACTCGCGAGGATCTCCCTTTCGGGATGTCACACTTGAATCCCACAAGGGGCAGACACGAAGTTCGAGTAAATCGAGCAAGAAGGGGAGGGCTGATTCGACACAAGCTGACGTGTAATCTGTAACAAACAGCGAAAACACATCAAACACGAGAGCCGACTGGTCTTGTAAAAGCAAAAACTCCAACATCACGAGAAGTTGTGGCTCAGATGTAAAGCAGGTACGTCACCAGGCGTCCCTGGTGATATCCTCAGGCCACTGTGGAGAGCTTTGTTACATGGAGCTCCACAGGCCTGCTCCATCTCCGAGTGTCACCCCTGCACTTGGTCTCAGGGCATTCTGAGACTCCGCACACAAACGCCCCTCAAAGAGGGGCGAGTAGCTCAGTTTTTACGGGAGGGGCAACCGAAAGAAACGCGCGCCCGAAAGACGGACGAAGACCCCAACGGAGAACAACGCGGGCAAAACCCCAATCAAGAAACACGAAAATCCAGGGGAAACCAAGTTTAGGGTCTCCAACAAGGGCAAAAACCCTAAACAGTCCCGAAAACCCTCCTAAACCTCGAAGACGGGGAGCACCGCGAAGTTGAAGAGCGAGAGGAAGAACAGGCCATCCCTTAACGGGCGAAGAGGAAGCACAGGATGAAGCGGGGAGGGGGGAAAAAGAGAAAAAGAAGAACGACGGGGGGGGGGGGGGGGAAAGAACGAAAGAAAGAGAGAAAGAAAGAAAGAGAGAGAGAGAGAGAGAGAGAGAGAGAGAGAGAAAGAAAGGAAGAAAAAAGAAAGAAAGAAAGAAAGGAAGACAAAGGGGCCGAGAAGCGTATTTAGGGCGCCGCAGCCCGCCCGAGGAAAAAAGACAGGAAAGAAAAGAGAAGAGAAGGAGACAAGGCAACAAAAAAGTGGAAGGAAAAAAGGGAAAGGGGTTAGTATGCGTTTTTTGGGCGACGCATCCCGCCCGGACAGAGACAGAGGATGAAGACCAAGGCTCGAGGAGGAGGACGTCGAACCCCACAAGGGGGCCAACAGGACGAACACGAAATAGCAACGGAAGGAGAGGAAGACGTCAAGCAAAAATGCGTGAGGAGAGCGAGGAGCAAGAACAGGTAGACAGGCAGGAAGAAGACGACGAGAAGAAAGGTGAACAGCGCGAAGACAAGCAGGCCATCCCTAAGCGGGCCTAGAGAAGGAGGACGAACGCGCAGGTCAGGAACACCAGGAAGAAGAGAGCGGGAGGAAGAGGAAGCCATCCCTAAACGGGCGGAGAACAAGAAGACGGACGCGCGGACGACGAAGACGAGAAACGAAAGTATGAAACGTTCTATGATCTGTGTGAGGGAACGAAGGAGATTCCCGCCTTGAAGAACTTGAAGGAGAAACTTCCACATAAGCACATTGATCGAACTGAGATCACCCAACTGAGGTTCATATCTCTGAGGTTAGCATCTCTGAGGTGAGTATATCTGAGGTTACCGTGAAACGACTGAGGTTCCTGACTCCGTATAAGCGGGCCCGCGGTCACTCTCTGGGTACTTGCGAGGATCTCCCTTTCGGGATGTCACACTTAAATCCCACAAGGGGCAGACACGAAGTTCGAGTAAATCGAGCAAGAAGGGGAGGGGCTGATTCGACACAAGCTGACGTGTAATCTGTAACAAACAGCGAAAACACATCAAACACGAGAGCCGACTGGTCTTGTAAAAGCAAAAACTCCAACATCAGAAGAAGTTGTGGCTCAAATGTAAAGCAGGTACGTCACCAGGCGTCCCTGGTGATATCCTCAGGCCACTGTGGAGAGCTTTGTTAGATGGAGCTCCACAGGCCTGCTCCGTCTCCAAGTGTCACCCCTGCATTTGGTCTCAGGGCATTCTGAGACTCCGCACACACACACACAGACACAGAGACACAGAGACGCACAGACACACAGAAACACACAGAAACACACAAAAACACACACACAGACACACAGAGACGCACAGACACACAGAAACACATAGAAACACACAAAAGCACACAAACGCACACAGACACAGAGACACACAGAGACACAGAGACACACAGAGACGCACAGAAACACACAAAAGCGCAGAGACGCCGAGACACAGAGACACAGATACACAGAGACACACAGAGACACAGAGACGCAGGCAGAGACACAGAGACACAGAGACACACAGACACACAGAGAGACACAGAGACACAGAGACACAGAGGCGCACAGAAACGCACAGAGACACACAGAAACACACAAAAGCACACAAAAGCACACACAGACACACAGAAACACAGAGACACACAGAGACGCAAAGAAACACGCAAAAGCACACACAGAGACACAGAGACACAAAGACACACAGAAACACACAAAAGCAAACACACAAAGACACAGAGACACAGAGACACACAGAGACACACAGAGACACACACAGAGACATAGAGACGCACAGAGACGCACAGAGACGCACAGAGACGCACAGAAACACACAAAGGCACACACACACACAAAGACACAGAGACACACAGAGACACAGAGACACAGAGACGCACAGAGACACAGAGACGCAGAGACGCACAGAGACGCACAGAGAGACACAGACACACCGAACCACACACACACACAAGCACAGACACAGAGACACAGAGACACAGAGACACAGAGACACACAGAGACACACAGAGACGCACAGAAACACACAAAAGCACACACACAGAGACACAGAGACACAGAGACACAGAGACACACAGAGACACAGAGACACACAGAGACACACAGAGACACAGAGATGCAGAAACACAGAGAGACGCACAGAGACGCACAGAAACACACAAAAGCAAAAATTACACACACACACACAGACACAGAGAGACACAGAGACACACAGAGACACAGAGACACACAGAGACGCACAGACAAACAGAAACACATTGAAACACACAAAACACACACAGACACAGAGACACACAGAGACACAGAGACACAAAGACGCACAGAGAAGCACAGAAACACACAAAAGCGCAGAGACACCGAGACACAGAGACACAGAGACACAGATACACACAGAGACACAGAGACACAGAGACGCAGAGACACACAGAGACACACAGAGACGCACAGAGAGACACAGAAACACACAAAAGCACGCACACACAGAGACACAGAGACACAGAGACACACAGAGACACAGAGACACACAGAGACACAGAGACACACAGAGACACAGAGACACAGAGACGCACAGAAACGCACAGAGACACACAGACACACAGAAACACACACAAGCACAGACACAGAGACACGGAGACACGGAGACACACAGTCCCACACAGAAACACACAAAAGCACACAAAAGCACAAACACACAGACACAGAGACACAAAGAGACAGAGAGATACACAGAGACACAGAGATACACACAGACATATAGAAACACACAAAAGAACACAAAAGCACACACACACACACAGACAACAAGACACAGAGACACAGAGACGCACAGACACACAGACACACACAAAAGCACACACACACACAGAGACACAGTGACACAGAGACACACAGAGACACACAGAGACACACAGAGACGCACAGACACACATAGAAACACACAATAGCACACAAAAGCACACACACACAGACACAGAGACACAGAGACACAGAGACGCGCAGACACACAGAAACAGACAGAAACACACAGAAACACACAAAACACACACACAGACACAGAGACACAGAGACACACAGACGCGCAGACACACAGAAACAGACAGAAACACACAGAACACACACAAAAACACACACACACAGAGACACAGAGACACAGAGACACAGAGACACACAGAGACACAGAGATACAGAGACACGCACAGACACACACAGAAACAGACAAAAGCACAGAAAAGCACACACAGACACACAGACACAGAGACACAGAGACACGCACAGACACACAGAAACACACAAAAGCACAGAAAAGCACACACACACAGACACAAAGACACACACACACACAGACACAGACACACACACACACAGACACAAAGACACACAGAGTGTCTGTGCGCATTCAAGTCAAAGCTCTAAACTCAAACGACTCGATTTGCTTTGCGCTCGACTCTTAGCGCCGAAACGCAGCTCTCAGCTTCGCGACTCTCGGCTCGACTCGACTCCCCTTGGCCTTCGCCTTCGCCCGCTCCCAGCTGCCGGCGACGTCCCCAAAACTTCGAAGCGGCGTTTCAGCAGCTTGCGACAGCTCGGGGGACTTCGCTGGAGAAAGTTCCGGTGGCTTCCGCCAAGCGGACAGCACGAAGTATCCACGCACAAGGCCCCATGTTTTCCCCGGGAAAAGGCCCGATGCATTCCGAAGCCGCGTTGACGCGGGTGCTCTAGTTTGATTTCTAGTGGAAGATATCGATTTCGGCAAAACAGATTATATTTCTAGAAATGCATCAAATACTGCAGTTGCGGCTTCAGCAATGACACACAAATACAAAATCCATAGATGCGGGAACTCATCATGTTGAATCAAACTGATATTGTACGCACTTTTCACTTTTGACTTAGCACGCATAGCTTGGGCAGCTCGCAACTTTGCAATTCTACTTCATATAGTTGTTGCTGAAATTGAAGCGTTCAAATCGCCCTGCCCAAGAATTCAGCACTTGTAGCCGTGGCATTGACAGCAAGGAGCCAAGTTTTTCACATCACTTGTCGACATTTGTCGACAATGGGCATCGAAAGAAAGCATATCTGCGTGGATAAACTTGGCTCAATTGCGACAAACATGCAATCGCGATCTCAGTCAATGATTTTGGATGGCACATTCTGCCGGTGCACGCAGTGCTGTCAGCCTTCCCTTCACAAGCTTCAAGGTCTCCTGCCGACCGACGAGCAAAACTCACACGTGGCTCAGCCAACATGGATTTCTATCTTATCAGGACCCGACATGGTTGGCGTCCTTTTGCAGGGATCCTTACATTATACACCTGAACATTGTCTTGCAAGTGGTGGGTTCCCTTTATTTGGGTGGAAGAAGCGGCATGTTTCAAATGGGCAGACTCTATCTAAGGAGCCCTGGATTCCCGTCAAGAGCAACCCCGAAGCGGCCCCAACTCACAAGACGAGCACCGGCGCTCAGCACCCTGCCAAGATGGTGTCGAAGCCCGGACGACCACCGGAACCTACCGCCAAAACGAAAGAGGCTATGCGTCAACAGAAAAAACCACCAGGAGTTGGACCGCAGCTCTGAGTCCTTCTTCCCATTTACCAGGGCAAGCCGGGCAAGCCATTTGGGGGTGACCCGATTTTTGGCCTTTCCACAGCCAACAAGGCGCGCGAGCCGAAACGAAACCCCCAAGCTTCAAGACAGAACCCCCGAGGGGCGAGCGATGGGCCCAGCAGCACTTCATGGTGAAGCGCAAGTCCGCCGGGCAGTCCTGAACAGATCGGCCCCCATATTACCACTTTTGGATCGGCCCCCACCCCCATATTAATAAACAGGGGTTTATCAGGGATCCTTACATGAAAAACACCTGCACATTGCCTTGCAAATGGCGGGCCCCTTTATTTTTTGGTGTTGAAAAGGCGACATGTGTCAAATGTTTGCAAAAGGTATCTTTTCAGGAGCCCTGCTGAAAACTGGGCGCTCAGAGGAATGGGTCCCTGCAACGGCTTTTCTTGAGTTTCCTTTTAAATTCCAGCCAACAGGGGGAGGGAGAAGCCCGAAGTTCATCCCCAAGCTCAGGTTGAGTGGTTGCATGCCCGGGTTGGCTCTGTTTTGCCATGTCCTCCATTTTTCTTCCGCCTCCTTTGTGTTCCAACTCGATGTCCAGGACTCTTTCCGCCCGAACCCAAACTGACCCCGAAACGGGTACCTTTTTCGAAACTTCGGGCCCCGTCCTGTGGCACAAACTTGGGATCTGGGCGCCTTCCGCGGCTCACTGCCACAGCGATGGAGACGGGCTCCAGGCCTGGCGGTTTTGCGGCTTCTCGCCCAGGCCTCCCGGCCTCCCCAGCGTCTTTCCACCTGGACCCCAAAAAAACTCCAACTGGAAAAGTGGTTCGATGGCAACCCCAAATTGAATTGAAGGGGTGAATTCCCAGGTTCATGGGTAGTTTCAAGGTTCGGGTAGAGAGGGACCTCACCCCGGCCGAAAGTGACTTTCTGCCTGGAGTTGAGGCGTTTTTTGAGCGCTCCCACTCTCAGCCACATTCCCCAGGCGTGAAACACGCGGCAGCCCGCCGCCGGCCTGAGCCTTCGTATGGGATGCGTCGTGTGATGAGCTCAAAGAGGCAAATGCCGTAGGAGTAGACGTCCACCTTCTCATCGTAGCCCTGGCCAGACAGGACCTGCAAGGGAAAGGGCTTTAGCCAAGGCGTTCTGGGAAAACGGTAAACATGCCAACATGGTTTGCAAGCAAAAAGAAAACTTTGCCACAAGCCATGGTGGAATTTGCAGGGTTCTCCTTCTCTACTTGCAATACACAACTCTGAGGCCCGTCAATGGTCTTGCGTCCTTCTCTAGTTTTGCCTAAAGATAGAGCCTAGAGATGGTTGATGAAATTTGGGGGGCTGTTGCAAAATAGGTACCCTCTTCCTCAATTGCTCAAAGTCCACGGGGCAAACAGAAGTGATAGGTTCCCTCTGGATGTCTTCTCCACTTGTGGAAAGAGCCTAGAGATAGTTGATGATATTTGGAGGCGGTTTTGAAATAGGCACCCACTTCCTCCGTTTGCTCAAAGTCTCCTGGAAAAACACAAGTGATAGATTCCCTCTGTGTTTTTTTGTTCAACTTCTCATGGAAAGAGCCTAGAGATGTTTGATGAAATTTGGGGGGGCTGTTGCAAAATAGGTACCCTCTTCCTCATTTGCTCAAAGTCCACGGGGAAACAGAAGTGATAGATTCCCTCTGGATGTCTTCTCCACTTGTGGAAAGAGCCTAGAGATAGTTGATGATATTTGGAGGCGGTTTCGAAATAGGCACCCACTTCCTCCGTTTGCTCAAAGTCTCCTGGAAAAACAGAAGTGATAGATTCCCTCTGTGTTTTTTTGTTCAACTTCTCATGGAAAGAGCCTAGAGATGTTTGATGAAATTTGGGGGGGCTGTTGCAAAATAGGTACCCTCTTCCTCATTTGCTCAAAGTCCACGGGGAAACAGAAGTGATAGATTCCCTCTGGATGTCTTCTCCACTTGTGGAAAGAGCCTAGAGATAGTTGATGATATTTGGAGGCGGTTTCGAAATAGGCACCCACTTCCTCCGTTTGCTCAAAGTCTCCTGGAAAAACAAAGCGATAGATTCCCTCTGTGTTTCTTTTGTTCGACTTCTCATGGAAAGAGCCTAGAGATGTTTGATGAAATTTGGGGGGGCTGTTGCAAAATAGGTACCCTCTTCCTCATTTGCTCAAAGTCCACGGGGAAACAGAAGTGATAGATTCCCTCTGGATGTCTTCTCCACTTGTGGAAAGAGCCTAGAGATAGTTGATGATATTTGGAGGCGGTTTCGAAATAGGCACCCACTTCCTCCGTTTGCTCAAAGTCTCTGGAAAAACAGAAGTGATAGATTCCATCTGTGTTTTTTCGTTCAACTTCTCATGGAAAGAGCCTGGAGATGCTTGATGAAATTTGGGGGGCTGTTGCAAAAGGGGCACCCCCTTCCTCCATTTGCTCAAGTCCCCTGGAAAAACAACAGAAGCGATATATTTTTTCTGCATGTGTTTGCCGCCTGTCGGAAGAGCCTAGAAATATTGGCTTAAATTTGTAGCTTCTTTAAATCGGCACCTCTTCCTCCATTTGCTCAAAGTCCACGGGGAAAACAAAAGTAATAGATTTCGTCTGGATTTCTTTTCCACTTATGGAAAGAGCATAGAGATATTTGATGAAATTTGGGGGCTGTTGCAAAATCGGCACCCTCTTCCTCCATTTGCTCAAAGTCCACGGGAAAAACAGAAGCGATATATTTTCTCTGCATGTGTTTGCCGCCTGTCGAAAGAGCCTAGAAATATTGGCTTAAATTTGGAGCTTCTTTAAATCGGCACCCTCTTCCTCCATTTGCTCAAAGTTTCCTGGATGTTTTCCACTTATGGGAAGAGCCTAGAGATATTTGATGAAATTGCGGAGCGGTTTCAAAATCGGCACCCTCTTCCCCCATTTGCTCAAAGCCCCCTGGATGTTTTCCACTTATGGGAAGAGCCTAGAGATAATTGATGAAATTGCGGAGCGGTTTCAAAATCGGCACCCTCTTCCCCCATTTGCTCAAAGCCCCCTGGATGTTTTCCACTTATGGGAAGAGCCTAGAGATAATTGATGAAATTGCGGAGCGGCTTCAAAATCGGCACCCTCTTCCCCCATTTGCTTAAAGCCCCCGGGATGTTTTCCACTTATGGGAAGAGCCTAGAGATAATTGATGAAATTGCGGAGCGGTTTCAACTTTGGCACCCTCTTCCCCCATTTGCTTAAAGCCCCCTGGATGTTTTCCACTTTTGGGAAGAGCCTAGAGATAATTGATGAAATTGCGGAGCGGCTTCAAAATCGGCACCCTCTTCCCCCATTTGCTTAAAGCCCCCTGGATGTTTTCCACTTATGGGAAGAGCCTAGAGATAATTGATGAAATTGCGGAGCGGCTTCAAAATCGGCACCCTCTTCCCCCATTTGCTTAAAGCCCCCGGGATGTTTTCCACTTATGGGAAGAGCCTAGAGATAATTGATGAAATTGCGGAGCGGTTTCAACTTTGGCACCCTCTTCCCCCATTTGCTTAAAGCCCCCTGGATGTTTTCCACTTTTGGGAAGAGCCTAGAGATAATTGATGAAATTGCGGAGCGGCTTCAAAATCGGCACCCTCTTCCCCCATTTGCTTAAAGCCCCCTGGATGTTTTCCACTTATGGGAAGAGCCTAGAGATAATTGATGAAATTGCGGAGCGGTTTCAAAATCGGCACCCTCTTCCCCCATTTGCTTAAAGCCCCCTGGATGTTTTCCACTTATGGGAAGAGCCTAGAGATAATTGATGAAATTGCGGAGCGGTTTCAACTTTGGCACCCTCTTCCCCCATTTGCTTAAAGCCCCCTGGATGTTTTCCACTTTTGGGAAGAGCCTAGAGATAATTGATGAAATTGCGGAGCGGTTTCAAAATCGGCACCCTCTTCCCCCATTTGCTCAAAGCCCCCTGGATGTTTTTCACTTATGGAAAGAGCCTAGAGATAATTGATGAAATTGCGGAGCGGTTTCAAAATCGGCACCCTCTTCCCCCATTTGCTCAAAGCCCCCTGGATGTTTTCCACTTATGGGAAGAGCCTAGAGATAATTGATGAAATGGCGGAGCGGTTTCAAAATCGGCACCCTCTTCCCCCATTTGCTTAAAATCCGCTGGATGTTTTCCACTTATGGGAAGAGCCTAGAGATAATTGATGAAATTGCGGAGCGGTTTCAAAATCGGCACCCTCTTCCCCCATTTGCTTAAAGCCCCCTGGATGTTTTCCACTTATGGGAAGAGCCTAGAGATAATTGATGAAATTGCGGAGCGGTTTCAAAATCGGCACCCTCTTCCCCCATTTGCTCAAAGCCCCCTGGATGTTTTCCACTTATGGGAAGAGTCTAGAGATAATTGATGAAATTGCGGAGCGGTTTCAAAATCGGCACCCTCTTCCCCCATTTGCTCAAAGCCCCCTGGATGTTTTCCACTCATGGGAAGAGCCTAGAGATAATTGATGAAATTGCGGAGCGGTTTCAAAATCGGCACCCTCTTCCCCCATTTGCTCAAAGCCCCTGGATGTTTTCCACTTATGGGAAGAGCCTAGAGATAATTGATGAAATTGCGGAGCGGTTTCAAAATCGGCACCCTCTTCCCCCATTTGCTCAGGGCCCCTTGGATGTTTCCACTTATGGGAAGAGCCTAGAGATAATTGATGAAATTGCGGAGCGGCTTCAAAATCGGCACCCTCTTCCCCCATTTGCTCAAAGCCCCCTGGATGTTTTCCACTTATGGGAAGAGTCTAGAGATAATTGATGAAATTGCGGAGCGGTTTCAAAATCGGCACCCTCTTCCCCCATTTGCTCAAAGCCCCCTGGATGTTTTCCACTTATGGGAAGAGCCTAGAGATAATTGATGAAATTGCGGAGCGGTTTCAAAATCGGCACCCTCTTCCCCCATTTGCTCAAAGCCCCCTGGATGTTTTCCACTTATGGGAAGAGCCTAGAGATAATTGATGAAATTGCGGAGCGGTTTCAAAATCGGCACCCTCTTCCCCCATTTGCTCAAAGCCCCCTGGATGTTTTCCACTTATGGGAAGAGCCTAGAGATAATTGATGAAATTGCGGAGCGGTTTCAAAATCGGCACCCTCTTCCCCCATTTGCTCAAAGGCCCCTTGGATGTTTCCACTTATGGGAAGAGCCTAGAGATAATTGATGAAATTGCGGAGCGGTTTCAAAATCGGCACCCTCTTCCCCCATTTGCTCAAAGCCCCCTGGATGTTTTCCACTTATGGGAAGAGCCTAGAGATAATTGATGAAATTGCGGAGCGGTTTCAAAATCGGCACCCTCTTCCCCATTTGCTCAAAGTTCCCTGGATGTTTTCCACTTATGGGAAGAGCCTAGAGATAATTGATGAAATTGCGGAGCGGTTTCAAAATCGGCACCCTCTTCCCCCATTTGCTCAGGGCCCCTTGGATGTTTCCACTTATGGGAAGAGCCTAGAGATAATTGATGAAATTGCGGAGCGGCTTCAAAATCGGCACCCTCTTCCCCCATTTGCTCAAAGCCCCTGGATTTTTTCCACTTATTGAAGGCCAAGATAATGATGAAATTGCGGAGCGGCTTCAAAATCGGCACCCTCTCCCCCATGCTCAAAGCCCCCTGGATGTTTTCCAGGAAGAGCTTAGAGATAATTGATGAAATTGCGGAGCAGCTTCAATCGGCACCCTCTTGCCCCCTTTGCTCAAAGCCCCCTGGATGTTTTCCACTTATGGGAAGAGCCTGAGATAATTGATGAAATTGCGGAGCGGTTTCAAAATCGGCACCCTCTTCCCCCATTTGCTCAAAGCCCCTTGGATGTTTTCCACTTATAAAAAAACACCTATAAATAATTGATGAAATTGCAGAGCGGTTTCAAAATCGGCACCCTCTTCCCCCATTTGCTCAAAGCCCCCTGGATGTTTTCCACTTATGGGAAGAGCCTAGAGATAATTGATGAAATTGCGGAGCGGTTTCAAAATCGGCACCCTCTTCCCCCATTTGCTTAAAGCCCCCTGGATGTTTTCCACTTATGGGAAGAGCCTAGAGATAATTGATGAAATTGCGGAGCGGTTTCAAAATCGGCACCTCTTCCCCCATTTGCTCAAAGCCCCTGGATGTTTTCCACTTATGGGAAGAGCCTAGAGATAATTGATGAAATTGCGGAGCGGCTTCAAAATCGGCACCCTCTTCCCCCATTTGCTTAAAGCCCCCTGGATGTTTTCCACTTATGGGAAGAGCCTAGAGATAATTGATGAAATTGCGGAGCGGTTTCAAAATCGGCACCCTCTTCCCCCATTTGCTCAAAGCCCTGGATGTTTTCCACTTATGGGAAGAGCCTAGAGATAATTGATGAAATTGCGGAGCGGTTTCAAAATCGGCACCCTCTTCCCCCATTTGCTTAAAGCCCCCTGGATGTTTTCCACTTTGGGAAGAGCCTAGAGATAATTGATGAAATTGCGGAGCGGCTTCAAAATCGGCACCCTCTTCCCCCTTTGCTCAAAGCCCCCTGGATGTTTTCCACTTATGGGAAGAGCCTAGAGATAATTGATGAAATTGCGGAGCGGTTTCAAAATCGGCACCCTCTTCCCCATTTGCTCAAAGCCCCTTGGATGTTTTCCACCACTATTAATTGATGAAATTAGAGAGTTTCAAAATCGTACCCTTCCCCATTTGCTCAAAGCCCCCTGGATGTTTTCCACTTATGGGAAGAGCCTAGAGATAATTGATGAAATTGCGGAGCGGTTTCAAAATCGGCACCCTCTTCCCCCATTTGCTCAAAGTCCCCTGGATGTTTTCCACTTATGGGAAGAGCCTAGAACTAGCCACTAAGCCATTGTGCAAAGCCACAAAACCACAATAAGCAAACAGGTAAAAATGCTTCCCAACAACAACCATGTGGTAGGAAACTAAGCCTTCCGGGAGAATGACTGGATGGCCCCCCCAAAAGGGAGGCATGCCTTTGGGCCACAGTCTAGTTCTGTGCGGAGACACCTTCCGCCAATCAACCAAAGTGATTGCAACCCAAAATGATGGTGAATTCATCCCCACTAAAATCGGTTCTAAAATGGGTGGTGAATTCACCTACCAACCAAATTGGGATCCCAAAACGGTTCTGACCACCACAGCCACATATGTTCCAGCAGTGGAATCGATCCCCTGGAAAGCCAACAGGGGGAAAATTGAAAAAGGATCCCAACAACAGCCATTTTCAAGGCCACTAAACCACAATAAGCAAAAATGGAAAAAAGGTTTCCCAACAACAACCATGTGGTAGATTCCCTCTGTTTTCTGTTTGGTTGTTTTTTCCCCCAAAGCAAAAGGAACTCGGCGTCTTCCACGACGTCTTCTCGCCTCGGGGGCCATCCAGTGGTAGGTCCCAGCGCCGCTGGTCATGCACACCTGAGCTCTAAGCCAATGGGTCCAAGCGTTGGTCGCAACAACAGAACCCCGGCAACAAAAGAGGTTGCGAAATCTGCTCCCCTGCTAGTGGTTTAGTGGTTTAATTGGAAAAAGTTGTAGTGGTTTAAAGGTTTAAGTTGTAGTGGTTTAAAACTGGAAAACCCATTAGTTGGCAAAAAATCCGAAAGTCCTAACAATCAATCAATCAATCAATCAATCAATCAATCAATCAATCAATAAATAAATAAATAAATCAATCAATCAATCAATCAAATCAAATCAAATCAAATCAAATCAAATCAAATCCAATCAATCAATCAATCAATCAATCAATCAATCAATCAATCAATCAATCAATCAATCAATCAATCAATCAATCAATCAATCAATCAATCAATCAATCAATCAATCAATCAATCATGCACCAAAGAGAACCCCCGCGGCAAAAAGAGAGTGAGCGGCTCACCTCTTTTTGTGGGGAAGTAGGGAAAACCCCTAGGGATGTGCAAGAAAAAGTGTCACTTATCTTCTGGGTTTGATGAGAACACTCCCTTGATTTCAACCAAGAGTTAGAGTCCAAAGATCCAATAGCGATCAAGCACGGAGCAACATCTATTGAGACCAACTTCCATATGAGCGAGCGGCAAAACCTAAATGCACAGAAGTGATTTAGGACTCATTCTTATCGTTTTTGGGGGTTCCCTATATCGTTTTGCAGGTTTCTGGCACATGGAGAGCGCGCACTGGCGTTTTATTGTCACGGCACATTGGCTTCACAGCTCTGTTTCAGACTCTTCCATTGGGTCAGCAGACAAAGCAGCTGCATGTTTCCGCTTACTCCGGGCATTTGCCTTGACCAAGCCGGCTGCATCGCGAGTGACCATTTGGTCGAAAGTCAGGATGTAGTGCTTTTCAAGGTGCCGCGAAACATGCGCAGCTGGGCATGGTGCTTCCTCATGATTTCATTCGTTTGATTTAGAGCAACCGTTGGTTTTCTCCATGTGGGATCTTGCCAAAAGCCGCGCTTCCACTGTAGTTGCTCTGCTTCCAACTTGCGCTCGACGATCTGGTACGGAGCACGCTGTCTGATAGCGCTGTTACCTGCGCGAGGCTTACCAAAAAACAACGAAGCAAACGCACAAACGCAAAGCAGAACATTTCTCTAAAGCAAAGCAGTTGATTTCGAGCGAGCTTCTGAAGAGGCAGTTGGAGATGCGTACTTGAAAGCGTGAGCTTCCAGATGGCACTGCTTCCAGGCAGATCGGAGTCCTTGAAAACCTCCTTTTGCAAACGCTTGAGAGCCTCCTCATCACTCATGGCGCACTACGAATGCACGCAGCACGGAGACATCGAAACTGTGCGCACGAGTCTACCGTTATGGGCAACTGCTCACGAAGACGATTTTCCGAATGAACTGCTTATCGTTTCGTTATCGTTTCGGTTATCGTTTTGGGCAGGTATGTTTTTGCCAAAGTTCGCGGAACAAACAGCATTGCGTGGCCGCAGAGCCCGATCTCACATATGCTGGGCGCGTCAGGAGGCACAGACATGATGGCTGGGATTCTGGGCCACAAAAAAAAGCTGCCAAACGCGAGATGCTCCAAGCATCGTCTGCCACATCATGAAAGCACGTTTTATCATTTTTGGGGGTTCCCTATATCGTTCTACAAGGTTTCGATAGATTTCCTCACGCTAAATCGCCCGAATGCATAAAGAAGTAACGGAGAGTTTAGCCTGTTGCTCATATGAACGTCAACCAGAAGCGCCGTCAACAAAAACAGGCGCGTTTCAGGCGCGCAAGGTCAAGAACCAAAGTTTGCTGGATGGCACCTCAAACATCCCTGCAGTACAGTCTCACATCCGAAGATTGGTTGCTGGCAGTGACTCACATGGGCATGGGTCAAAAGCCTGTACCCGCAGGGAACATCCCAATCCCAACTAAAATAGACTAAAATGGGTGGTGCACCTATCCCAAAATGGTACCATTGGTTTTGACCCACAGCCACATCTTCCCTTCTTCAACTGGGGGCCGCTCCACGAATTTTACAACCATCCATTCAAGCATCTTGGGCAAATCCTCGGTCATGCAAAAGAAAGGTTCAAAGCCTACTCCTCTCCCTTCTGTAATATCCACCTAGAGAACCCACCCCCCTTGAAATTCTCAAACTTTTTGACTGGGAAAAAGCTCCCCCCTTGAATGTCTCAAACTTTTTGAGCGGGAAAAAGCCACCCCCCGTGAACGTCTCAAACTTTTTGAGTGGGAAAACGCTCCTCTCAAACTTTTCGAGTGGGAAAAAGCAATCCACCCCCCTTGAAGTTCTCAAACCGACCTTTCGAGTGGGAAAATGCCGCAGCCCCCCTTGAAGTTCTCCAACCTTTGGCATGGGCAAAAGGAAAGTTTTTGTTGCCCCGGCCTTTTAGGAAGGGGATCGAGCTGTTCAATCCGAGAGAGGTCCTCCGACGTCCAATCCGATGGACCTCCCTGCGCACGAAGAAACGTGTTCGCCATGGGAAGGACACCAAGCCGTTTTGGTTGGTATTTGCAAGGGAGTCATATCTTTCTGGCCATCGCGTTTTTGTTGGGTGCAAGGGGATTCTCAGAAAGGGGCTTCTGAAGGGTGGACCAAATCCATTCGCACCACTTTAAAACCATGAAACACCATTGTTTTTGTGCGTATTCACGTGGAATCAATTCCTTCCAGGGGTTCTCAAGTGGCACGTCTCCTGGATTTTGTCCATCAGGAAACTAATCCTAAACCCAGGAGAAAAAAAGACTGGATGGTGCCCCCCCCCAAAAGGGAGGAATGCCTTTGGGCCACAGTCTAGTTCTGTGTGCAGACACCTTCCGCCTGCAATCAACCAAAGTTATTGCAACCCAAAGTGATGGTTGGTGACCTCCCTCCTTCTTTTTGCTAAGCAGTCGGCTGCGTGCTCCAGTAGAGAGCTTAGAATCAGGCTACCAACTTCTTTCTGTATTTAGTAAAAGAAGCCCTCCCCCCAAAAAAGGAAACGGGAAAAGGGCACTACTGGAAGACCTGGTTCCATTGGCTTAGAGAAAATGAGAAAATATGCCCACTGGTGAAACCGATTCCCTTAAAAAACCCAACAGGGGGGACCTAGTAGGGTTCAGGTGCCTAGCGGAAGGCCTCCCAAAAGGAACGAAAGCGATCAAGCCTCCTGCCTGCGCCTGGTCGGGTTTGAAGGCCCGGGAGAGCCCGAAGTCCGAGACCTGAACCGCAACTTGCGGAAGTTAGGGGGGGGGCAAGGGGCAAGGGACGTTGGAAGGGGAGCAGAAGATGAATTCAAGTTATGAAACTTTCGCAGTTCCGTGGATTTGGATCAATTATGTTTTGGCAGTTCCGTGGATCTTGATTTTCCAGCGCTAAACCAGAATAAGCTAAACATGTTTCCCAACAACCATGCCAGGAAGGGTGATCAATATCCCGGACCATGGATTTGGGGCATGCCGCGCCGGAGGTCGCTTCGCTTGGAAGCTTGGGATGACTTTGGATTTGAGGCGCTGAAAACGCCCCCAGCTTTGGCCATCCCTCTTTTGTTGTTATATTTATTTTTTGGTAGGGGCCCCCAAGATCTGGCCATGGAAGACCTTTTCCCAGGCAAAGATCATCGGTGCGGTTTCCGCCAATGCTATTCCCGGTTAAAGGGCCCCCAGTTTTGACCATGGGGGACTCTTCCCATGCGGCAAAGATGAAATCTGTTTAATGTGGTTCTTCAACCAATGATCATCCCATGTAAAGGACCTTTTGATCCACCCCACCCCGCCAAAATTCACAAAAAAATGAGGGCAAATGACGGTGTCCGGTGTCCCTTACAAACCATGCACAAAAGAAGAGACATGTTTTGAGCCCCAGCCCTTTCTACCAAACTCCGTTTGTTTGCCGACGCCTTCACGGCGGGGACGTCGTCGCCGCGCAAGGGCGCGGCCAACAGCAAGTTCAAAGATTTGAGATCGCGGTGGACCACCTCGCGCCACCCGCGACTCGCGACTCGCGACAAGCGACCGATGGATTTGCGGGGCGGGGGGGGGGCGAGTCGAGAGTCGCCCGAATCAAAGGTTCAAAAAGAGATTCGGGGTTCATCCCACTGAAGAGTCGCCTGAGATCTGACACACTCGCAAAGCTTTGCTCTCACCAAACATGAACAGCTTGCTTTGTGTTTCCAAGCTTCGCGTTGTGCTCTTGAGCATCTGACATGCAATTCCCCAAAGCTGGTCAGCGCATTCTCAACGCATACTGATCTCATCTCGCGAGTGTCGAGACTTCGTGCGACATCCAAGTCGGTCCTGTCGACGGTGCAAGAAGTTCATTCCCTGGCCGGCTTCCAGAAATCAAAGTCTGGCCAAAACGGTTTTGTCGGCCGAAACGGGGGGAAAAAAGAGACGTTGGCACAGCTTGTCTCATGGGTTTCCAACATGGCAACGCTAGGTTGTTTTGGGTGTGTCCTTTTTTGTTTTTGGAAGGTACCTGTTTTGGCTAGGTTTTTCAAGGGAAACCAACAGGAAAGCCAACAAATACATGAGGTCCCCCCCAAAAAAACCGCCCCTTGTCCCTTTCGCATCCATGTCCTGGGGATGTTCGGGGATGTGTCCCTAATTTGGTCCATAGAACCAGGGTTGCTGAACGGTGGACATGGGATGTCGTCCAAGTAGTCAAGGTGCCAAAAGGTTAAGGTCACCTGTTATGTCCAGGTCCTTAAGGTTTTAGGCTTTAGGGTTTGGCCAGAAAAGGTCCAAACTTGTTGTTTACCACTGAACCGGTCTCCCCCCCCCCCCCCCCCAAACAACCAAACAAAACACAAGTCCATGAGCTCAGGGAGTCACCTTTTGCGCCCCAAAAGCAGCTGACCCAAATTTTGTGCCCGTCCCGTCGCTTTGGTTCGCCTTGGCCACGTCCAGGGCCACAGCCAAGCGCTGGGGCCAGGGCAGGGAGAGATCCCGGCGCTGGTGCAGAAGGCCCTGAGCACTTTTCCCCACCGGGGCCCTTTGGCCGGCGGACGGACTCGCGGATTTTTGTTTGGGTCCCAGTGCAAACCGTTGAACGGTCTGAAAGTGAAGGGTTTTCCAACTTGCCTTAAGGGTTCGGTTCCAAAATAAGGATTTCGGCCTTGACTCAGGGATTCGCCGGATTCTTTCGGGTCCGAGTTCTGCAAAACAAAAAGGCGTGGCTGACAGAGAATGGTTTCCCTGTTTTGCCTCAAGAAAAAACCGTCTCCGGCTTTGACTCACAGATTCGCGGAATTTCAGGTTGACCCACTTGCTGCAAGACCAACTTGTTTTGGTGGCTCGCTTGAAAAGGGAATGAGAGACATGGAATGACCCCCTCAGCCATGCCCTATGGTTTCCTTTCAGGGAATCCCCCACCCCCGGCTCAATCCGGCTCAGGCCCCTGAGCCCCAGCAAGGGCCTGTCGAGTGAATGGGTTCCCATTGGTTTCCCATGAGGCTTCCCCAAAAACCACGAGTTCGGTTTTCTCTTAAGGCCTCCCTCTGCACCAAAACGGCCCGAGACAAGCAACATGCGGTTTTTTTGAGGCCGCGGCAAAGACCGTTCCGCCGGCACAGAATTCCGAGATGATGAGGGCCTGAGGAGCCTGTCGCGGCGTCTCAGAATCATCCCGCGCGATCATTGGGCCACACACCGAGTCCAACAAACCAAGAAAATCACGAGAAGTGGAGATCAGCTGACGTTCCGACATTCTTCCAAAGTTGGCCGGGACCAAGCCCTTGTTCAAACATGTTTCTTTTGCACCCCCTTTGATTGAAACACCCACCCTTCTGGGTGAATTATTTCAACAACCTGAAATAAGGTGGTTGCAAGGCTATTCCCCACATGAACCACCATGTGGAGTGAATTCGGTCGTGTGAGGTCGTTGCAATTCACCCAGACCCTTTGGGTTTAAACCCTAGGGACGTGTTCCAGCCAGTTTGAGGCCCCCCTTTTCCCACGACAGGTCGAGCGGATATTTCGTGACCAGGGCCCAGGCTTTTGTACACGCGCCCATGAAGAGCACCAAGTTGGGATGCCGCCTCGGGAATGATTTTCAGGCGGGTATCCGGCTTGCAAACGGGGAGGTTCCAAGGGAAAATCGGGGAAAACACAGAAACCACAGAAAGCCAACTTTTTTTTGTTGGAAGGGGGGGGGGGGGGAGGGGGGGGAGAAAAGAACTTCTCTTTCTTTTTTCCGACTCATTGAAGTCCGTGGCTTGAGCGAGCAAGCCCATCCTGAACCTAATAGGAAGCCACATGTTCCATAGTGGGAATCCTTCACCTTAGCCGATCCAGGGGGTTCCATTGTTCTTCCAACCGACAGCCAGCAGTTGCTTGCTTGCGCCGCGGAAATGCTGAGCTTTCCTTGAAATCGGAAGTGTTCTTCGGAATCGCCGGCAAAAGCACCGAGGCCCTGGGCAAGCGGAGCAACACTGAGATCTCACGCTTGAATTCCGTGGAGAGCTGTCCTCGCAACGCGGGTCTCTTTGGTCCTTCAAGTCTTTTGCGGGAATTCGGCATAGTCGGCCAAATCGCGGCCAAATCTCTGATCAAGGCCACCTCCCTAGGGGATTCCGAATCTAGTCTCGAAGCAAGTGCCAATAGTCCTGCGCTTCGCAGCTTCTTCACTGCCACGTCCGTTCCGTGCCAGCCAGCGCGGAAAACCTGGCCAGGCGTTGCCGGCAAGATCCCCCGAGATCCTGGCCTTCCAAACAAAAAAGGAACCAAGGCAGGCACGGGTGCCAAAGCCCTCTCAAGAACCGAGCAACCATCCAGTGCATGGCCCGCACAAAACAAAGCAACCAAGGCAAACTGGCATGAGTGCGCGAGCCTTGTCAAGAACCAAGCAACCATCCAGTGCATGGCCCGCACAAAAACGGGAACCAAGGCAAACCGGCACGAGCGCGAGAGCCTTCTCAAGAACCAAGCAACCATCCAGTGCATGGCCCGCAACAAAAAAACAAGAACGGCATGAGTGCGAAAGCCCTCTCAAAAAGCCAAGCAAGCATCCAGTGCATGGCCCGCACAAAACAAAGGAACGAAGGCAAACTGGCATGAGTGCGCGAGCCTTGTCAAGAACCAAGCAAGCATCGAGAGCATGGCCCGCACAAAAAGGAACCAAGGCAAACCGGCATGAGCGAGAGAGCCTTCTCAAGAACCAAGCAACCGTCCAGTGCATGGCCCGCACAAAAAAAAAGGAGCCAAGGCAACTGGCATGAGTGCGAGAGCCTTCTCAAGAACCAAGCAACCATCCAGTGCATGGCCCGCATAAAAAAAGGGAACCAAGGCAAACCGGCATGAGTGCAAGAGCCTTCTCAAGAACCAAGCAACCATCCAGTGCATGGCCCGCAACAAAAAACAGAACGGCATAAGTGCGAAAGCCATCTCAAAAAGCCAAGCAAGCATCTAGTGCATGGCCCGCACAAGAACCAAGAAACCAACCAGTGCATGGACCGCGCAAAAAAGGAGGAACCAACACAAACCGGCATGAGTGCGAAGCCCCTCTCGAGAACTAAGCAACCATCCGGTGCATGGCCCGCACAAAAAAAAGGCAAACCGGCATGAGTGCGAGAGCCCTCTCAAGAACCAAGCAACCATCCAGTGCATGACCCGAACAAAAAAGGAACCAAGGCAAAACGGCATGAGCGCGAAAGCCCTCTCAAAAAGCCAAGCAACCCTCCAGTGCATGGCCGGTCAAAGAAGGAACCAAGGCAAACTGGCATGAGCGCGAGAGCCCTCTCAAGAACCAAGCAACCAAGGCAAACCGGCATGAGTGCGAGAGCCCTCTCAAGGTACCAAGGCAGACCGGCATGAGTGCAAGAGCCCTTTCAAGAACCAAGCAATCATCCAGTGCGTGGCCCGCACAAAAGAAAGAAACCAAGGCAAACCGGCATCAGTGCGAGAGCCCTCTCAAGAACCAAGCAACCATCCAGTGAATGGCCCGCACAAAAAAAAGAGGAACCAAGGCGAAAACAGGCATGAGTGCGCGAGCCCTCTCAAGAACCAAGCAAGCATCCAGAGCATGGCCCGCACAAAAAAAGAACCCAAGGCAAACCGGCATGAGCGCGAGAGCCCTCTCAAGAACCAAGCAACCAAGGCAAACCGGCATGAGTGCGAAAGCCCTCTCAAGGTACCAAGGCAAACCGGCATGAGTGCAAGAGCCAATTCAAGAACCAAGCAATCATCCAGTGCATGGCCCGCATAAAAAAAGGAACCAAGGCAAACGGGCATGAGCGCGAGAGCCCTCTCAAGAACCAAGAAACCTTCCGGTGCATGGCCCGCACAAAAAAAGGAACCCAGGCAAACCGGCATGAGTGCGAGAGCCCTCTCAAGAACCAAGCAACCATCCAGTGCATGGCCCGCACAAAAAAAAGGAACCAAGGCAAACCGGCATGAGCGCGAGAGCCCTCTCAAAAAGCCAAGCAACCCTCCACTGCATGGCCGGTCAAAAGAAGGAACCAAGGCAAACCGGCATGAGTGCGAGAGCCCTCTTAAGAACCAAGCAACCGTCCAGTGCATGGCCCGCACAAAAAAAGGGAACCAAGGCAAACCGGCATGAGTGCGAGAGCCCTCTCAAGAACCAAGCAACCATCCAGTGCATGGCCCGAACAAATATAAGGAACCAAGGCAAACTGGCATGAGTGCGAAAGCCCTCTCAAGAACCAAGCAACCATCCAGTGCATGGCCCGCACAAAAAAGAAAGGAACCAAGGAAAACCGGCATGAGCGCGAGAGCCCTCTCAAGAACCGAGCAACCATCCAGTGCATGGCCCGCACAAAAAGGGGAACCAAGTCAAACCGGCATGAGTGCGAGAGCCCTGTCAAGAACCAAGCAACCATCCAGTGCATGGCCCGCACAAAAAAGAGAGGAACCAAGGAAAACCGGCATGAGTGCGAGAGCCCTCTCAAGAACCAAGCAACCATCCAGTGCATGGCCCGAAAAAAAAGGAACCAAGGCAAACCGGCATGAGCGCGAAAGCCTTCTCAAGAACCAAGCAACCATCCAGTGCATGGCCCGCACGAAAACAAGATCCAAAGCAAGCCGGCATGAGCGCGAGAGCCGTCTCAAGAACCAAGCAACCATCCAGTGCATGGCCCGCACAAAAAAGGGAACCAAGGCAAACCGGCATGAGTGCGCGAGCCCTCTCAAGAACCAAGCAACCATCCAATGCATGGCCCTCACAAAAAAAGGAACCAAGGCAAGCCGGCATGAGCGCGAGAGCACTCTCAAGAACCAAGCAACCATGCAGTGCATGGCCCGCACAAATAAGGGAACCACGGCAAGCCGGCATGAGGGCGAGAGCCCTCTCAAGAACCAAGCAACCATCCAGTGCATGGCCCGCACAAAAACGGGAACCAAGGCAAACCGGCATGAGTGCGAGAGCCCTCTCAAGAACCAAGCAACCATCCAGTGCATGGCC